TATTTAGTAAATATAGCTTGGCTTTTACTACGACGCATGAATGAATGATATTTCTGGTCAACTATTTGTCTATGGTACTGGTCAACGTCACTTGCCAATTACAAGCTACTGTATAGACCTGGACGTTCAAGGTTCGTTAATTGACCTGGTAGACGAAAATGTTCCTGTCATATGTTGCCTTTCTGTTATGTTAATGGCCTAAGAACTAACCAGTGATATCGGACCCTTGCGATAGATTTAGTAGTAGAGCATTTTTTTTTTTTATTGATAATGATTTATAATAACATTATCACTGCGGCAAACAGGCAATAATGTTATAGCGCTGGAGTCCGTTGTCGTGTCCCGGCTATTGGCGAGGTTTTACAGGATTCGAAGAATTACGACGAGTGCAAGAACGGACCGTTACAGTGTCTCTTTTCGTATTGCGTTACTTGATGTTGCTCACATGGGTATAACAATTATTTTTACCAGGTCTATAATTATTTCGCCAGTCTGTTGCTATGTAGAAATGATGAGCACGTCCGCTGGCTGTGAACGACCGACCGAACAGGTGTTCTGACTACCGTGAAGGTTGTTCTCCACGAAGCTATAAGCCCTTGATACCAGAAGCAGCTGGTAAAACTGCGTATCGGTCGACCGAATGCACACTGGATCATTAAGAGCACGCGTCCCGTCTAAAGGTACCGCCACTGGGAGAAATACATTTGCAGGTGTATATCCTCTCACCTTAGTCGCTACGATTAATCACTAACTGAACGACAGGGGGGCCGGAATGGAACATACTGTTTTCGACAGCTCAGATTCTGCTAGTTTCATAATACTCAGACGCCACCTAAGGTTAGACATAAATACAATAACTGATTGGCATTTTGCTCTGTCATCGGGCAACGAGTATGTTATAGGAAGCGTAGTAGGGACACGTAGTCGCCAACCAGCCGAACCATGCTCATCGTAGATACGAGTAACAGAATAAATTCAGACAGTTTGTACGATGAAGCCCGTTCCTCCGACCGAGTCGTCTTCAAGTCAGTCTTTCATGACCGTTTTTCCCTGGACGTTTGCATTGGTTGAAAATAAGGTATCACCCTAAGTACATGCATGACGCACGCGTCTAGCGGGTCGGGTCGGGTCGAGTCGAATCGGATCGGGATTCGTTAGAACAGATGGCGTGGAAGAGATATCTATTTATGAACGGCACGAATAAAATGCTTGGCGGCACCTAGCGACACAAAATTGTAACTTCAATGTATATGTATCCGCGTGCGCGCCCTCTATTAAGATCATACTATTAAAAACTATTAATATCATTGCATTCGCTTTATGGATATCATCTTCCCGCTTAGCAACTAAAACGAGAATAGTTAAAGCAATTGAACAACAAACTGGAACTTTTTACAAATGTGTTATTCTGTATAAATCTATTATCATGAACTTGCAGAGGCTACCTACGTGCTAGTAGTGTTCTACTTCATCGTATGCTATCGAGCCGTGTTAACCGAACTGTTGGAAGCTGCACTCGGGTTCGTAGTCTCCTGAACGGACTTGGGGAGTCGCATATCTGCTTGTCTCTGTTTATCATATTCTATAAACCCCACCTTCTCTCGCCCATTTCCACTCAGTCCTTCACCTCCCGAATCGCGCTACAAAACTGTCTCTATTAGAACTACTCATTCCGAGTGTTCTGCACCACGTAAGCCTTGACGTTGCCATTTCAACTTTTTCGATAAGTTACATATCAGTCTTTAGGTGGCACTACTTCCGGATTATTTTCCGGTTGTTATTATTGTTGCCGTTCTTGTTGCTGCTAGTATTTCTGTTGTTGTTGTTGTTGTCGTTGTGTCAAAAGCAATGCTTACGCGAGTGTGATATCAGGGCCAGTTCGAGGTTCTTGCTAGTGGTCCCACCGATTACGTCGTGTACGTGGCATGTTAGTGGTAGCGGTAGTTAAAGTTTGCGGCGGACGCGATCTCGTTTTGCCAATGCCAACCATTACTTGCACGGGCAGGCGTATGTCCAGAAAGGCCCACTACATAGCTTGCACTTCCGGCATATTCACGTCCGTGCGTAGCCAGAGCTCTTCAGTCCATCGTGCTTCGGTATGAAGCCTATGCAGCGTCTTTTTTCTTATTCGGTTTTCACAACGTCGACGCCTTACAGCGCCATCATCTCTAGCTCCATCCACCACCATTACTACCGACACGAATCGTCAAACGGAAACGGAAATGAGCCGTGTCTGTACACTTTCAAAGCCCCCACCCGCACCACTCTATCGCTCTTCTTACTTTTGCGTTTTGCCACACTTGTGTATTCCCCGACTGAAACTTTACTCAAAAATGGGGCATTTCCACCAAGCAACTCATGTGAAAACAACTCGCTCCGACGCTTAATTTTAGAACTGTTTTATGTAAATAATGTCCTTACTGCACATCTAATAGCTAGTCAACTTCACCTGTTAAATGAACAATTTCACATATTAAGTTACCATTATTACACATGGCTAGCGGTCAATAATATAAGCCAGGCTTGATTTTCGTTATACAAGACAAAGTCTATCATATCAATCTATAAGGGCGCTACGGAGCTTTACTAAGCTTACTTTGTAAATTCAAATTGACAACCTTTTACTGCGTTACCTGGACATCCAGACATCGCTGTCTATTCAAGAAAAGTGGGGAGCGTTATCATAGATAATCGATGCAAGCGCTCAACTGGTATTATGTGGGCTGATATTCTTTTCATAAGACCGAAAATCAATAAATGGCGAATAGTGAACTGAAATAAAAAGTATTGCAATTATATGACATATGTATGGTTAAAGGAAAAACCTTATACTGTGCCCTTTGCTTTTATTGCCTTCATAATCTCTTTGTTAACTTAGCTGCGTCATGTGGCACAATTTTCCTTGAAGTATTTTAACTAATGATTATCGTCTCGTTTTCATCAATAGGAACCTTCGTACACGTGTAGCTTTACGTTCGAACGTTTCGTCCACGGATACTTCTGGACATTCGACGTTGGCTTGGATGACTTCACGACGTTTCGAGTTTTACGTCCAATATCGCCGTTAGGCATTCCATCAGATAGTTGGCTCCCCGCACGAAACGACCCGTGTGTCTATGCCCGGGCTCGAACCTAGACCACAACATGTGCCTGTAATTACCGTGCGAATACGTTACCCACTAATCTGTCATCAGGACTGGCTTGAAATTTTGGAGCATACGAATCAGCCGCTACTGAACGTTTCAGTCTACCTATTCGTATTATAGTTGTTTTTTTTTTTTTTGCAATGTACAGCCTGCCGGATGTACTAGCTCTTTCACCAGATACGTCACGCAAGAATATATCGCGCCACTCTGTATTCTGTACGAATGATTTTTCATTCGTGCAAGGAACTGAAGTCATAGACGAAGTGTACAAGCCTACGAGTTAGTTGATTTAAGGTGTCCTTCATCTAGGGCGAATATCAAATAATCAGGAAGTATCAGGTGAATCGATGTAAGCCCTGAAACTTTTATCTCTTCTCAGTCGTTGAGTAACGCGGAAATTTTCGAACGTGCGCTTAAAATACAGCTCTGTCATTGTGACAAGGCGAAGTGTGGATAACCCACCCAGCAGCTGTTACTTTCCGCGTTAAAAGAAAAAGTTCATTTTTCAATCTTGGCGGATCTCTAACGGCTGTCATAATCTATTGCGCTGTACTGTAATGAAAAGGTGCTACATCACTGCCAATTTGGCAAAGCTGCACACTCTTATATGGTGTGCTTAACGCGTCTACGAAAGTTCAGGCGATTTAACGACGGAAAACATTTTTAGCATCGAAAACTATTTAACGCCATTACATTCTGATCGTATCGCGAGTACCTGCGAAATCATTAACGTAGAGAGCCGTTTTCCCGTTCGGTCTGGGCTAATACTTATTCAAATCATACAGAATCAATCGCAATCACGTTACTTTTTAACCGTACCAATGACGTATTGTTTAAACATAAGGAAGATCCACGCATTTACCATAGCCAAGGTACACCTATGGCAATGCGTCAAAAATACGTCGCTTATTTCCACGTCATTGAATTAAGCTGCATTTCCCCCTAAACCAGTGGTCATCTGCAAACACGATAGATATTGGCATTTCTTAGCAGTAAAGGTAACGGCAGTAACAATAGTATTATATTAAGCTCCCTGTGCTGACTGGCCCGTGAGATATTTACAGGCAATAGGTGAGCGTTACCCTAGAGGAAATGTGGCGCTCTACTATATCACTGGCAGGTCGCCGATTGACAAAGTGTTAGGACATAAATGTCAAGAGTTTTCTTTATCCAAAGGTCAACTCTTCGAGTCGAGAGAAGCGAAGCAATGTACCTTACCGGTACATTGCTTCGTACCGGTTCGTAGTACTATCGCGAAAAAAAACACCATTTTTTTTTCTCTCTGTTTAGTTAACAGGAAGTATTTTTATGACTATAACTTCTGGCTTTCAGCAAGATCGCAGAGCAGTCCCGAAATCGTTATTATGTGTCATGGAATAGAAATAGCTTAAAATATTTGTTGGATAATAACAATACACATACAAAATCTCAAGGAAACTTGAAGTAGTATGAAACAAAAGTGCAGGCTTATACTTTTTGATATATGAAATCTTATTTATAATTATGCCTTAAACTAGGTTTTGTATAGTTTTATTTGATTTAAGGTATACATCTGTTGAAGATTTTACCCAATCAAATGAAGTGCGTCTGTTGATTTGACAGATCTATTCCGCTTCTTTCTGCGCCCACAACGACCAATTAAGTAATCGTTTGAATTGGAATAGAATTCATTACAAATGTATAGCAAATTATACTTCGCGTTTAGCCGCATGTTTATTATTTGACGAGCCACGAACGATTTCTCGGCGATGAGCTTGCTACCTTTATCCCCTTTCGTAGACTGGGGAAAATTACCCTCACCTAGAAAATCCAGAAAAACACCCTTTCTCAAATCGGATGTCGTTCGAAAGAGATTACCAGGCCTTATAAAGCTTCGATGCGTACTCGTTTCACGAAAGGTCCTTATGCACCTTCTGTTGTCCACCAAGTGAGTCAAATAAGTAAACACAATAATGTATCTGAGAAAATAACCATTGCTTTATTACCAATGATAAAAAATGGCAGCTTTTTTTATTTTACGAGCTATCGCTTTTATGTTTACCTATGGTTAATGGCATATTCTATAGAAGATTAGGAATATATACACACTATATAATAAATGCAAAGTCGATTCCTCAGTTTTAATGAGACTTCTTTTTATAATATCTTTTCATTGCAATCAAGGTTACGTGTGTTTTACGGAATTCGAATTGGAAATTTGACAATTCCAAGACTTCTGCGTTACCGCCTACGTCATCCTGCGGAAGAATTTTACCGAAAATGGTAGTATGCGTTCAACCCAAACGTCTAGATTAACCTCTCTATCACTTTGTTACATACTACGCTATATTTGTGCAATATATTAATAGTGATCATAGCCTTGACAATGGAACTTAGCTAAGCATATTTTCTTATTGAGGTTCTGCCGTTTAGAAGTTTCAACTTACGACTTAAAATTGTAGCAGTTAAAAGGTGGCTTATAGGGGGAGAGTAATACATTCGTTTCGCTCAACAAATATTATAAAATTATTTTCTTTCTAAAAAAAAAAAAATGCTTTTATCATGTATGAACAAAAGACCAAAAATTATTTGTTCTCAAAATTCTAGTCTATAGAAGCCTTCGATTTGCTCTGATCTATAGAGGTAAAGTTTTTAGTGTTCAACGTCGTTGAATCCTTCTGAAGCCGTGTGCTAATGACATCTCGATGTCTGTTTTTGCAGGCCTTCGAGCACAAGAGATCGGGGTATTATTTAGCGGGAAATTTACAAATGTCCATTGCGTTGACGCTACTCAGCGGCCTCCTAGCAGCTGATGTCGAACTTTGTTCACAGGTAAACATTTGAAATCAAACTAGTCACGCTGACGCTAACATAATTAGTAATTTCACTCGTTGTTTTTTGGCTTTTTAGAGACACTTAGAAAATTGTAGCGACTCTCTTTATGTGTTGACAAGGAAAAACCATGAATTTGTGGTGCCGGAAACCGAGAGTGCGCTGATTGCTCATTGTGAGAAGCAAACGGCAGCGGAAGAATGTCTACGAGAGCGAGTCGATATTTGTGACACTGGAATAACAAAAGTAAGTGAAAGTGAAATCAGATTGTTTATCAAAAAGTGCTCGGCGGGCTATTTTAGTCGTGTTAAGTTAGACAATCTACGTTGTCCTCTTTCTAAATTAGTAGTTTGAGCTAATTAAGATTAAGTAGGCTAATAATAGGAATAGATGACATTGAATTTTTGAAGCTCTAACTAGCCCTATTTTAATTAGATCGTGGAATTTTGCTTGGGATTAGATCAACTAGCCCATATTTTGTGGATTTTTTATAGGGCATGAGTCGGGCTCTTTTCGATGATAACCACGACGAGTTCTCACGTCGCTGTGATCCCACATCAAAGGTAAAAGTTCGATCGAATGGCAGAATTAGTTTCCTTAATCAATTAGTCAAAACATCACTCAAATCTATCGTCTTAGATAGTTCTTCAATCATAGCATACATTCAATGATATATGACAAGATCATGAAAGGCTTTTCTTCAGATCATCCTTATCTCTACGTAGAATTAGCTTTCCTGCAGATTGTCGTAACGTTGCTTGTTGCAAAATCGCTACCATTTAACTACATAAACTGGGTTCCCGCTTCTGGCCATAGCCTATTTTTCGACTATGCCCGATTTGTCCCACAGGATCATCGCCGTAGGTCTGAATGATTTGTTGAGAGTGATTATTTCACATAAGATATATATGTAAAGCCTTTTCCTTGCAGGAATACACTGACTTCCTGTCGATTGCCCCTTGTATCAATACCATAAGCGGTGAACTGTATGGCTGTATGGTTGGCATGCTCACTAACCTCAGTAATGCAATCCATGTGAAAACATTCAGGAAAAAGGTGGGTTATGATTCCGCTAGAAGAGTAAAAAGCAAAATAACAATAATCGTAGTCAGATTGTTTCTAAGCGTATCAAACGCGTGTTTTTCAGTAGAAACGCAGGCAACTCGTCAGCACATTCTCTAATTACATTATCCGATAGCGTAAATACGATCACTGATCAACTTGGCCGTTTCGTCTCTCGCCTATAGTAATACAAGCTACAATTAGCACAACGGTTTGTTTTTTAGGTCGATCACGGATGTTGTGCGTACAAACGTTTCGAAAAATGTGTTCTGGACATCGCGGTTGACCGCTGTGGATCGGAGACTCAAGCCTTTTTTGATGATTACCTTAAACAGACGGTTAGAGAAACTGTTACTCTTCTTTGTTCCGCCGACTATGAGTTGTGTACCACTCTCAAGCCTGTGGAGTTACCTAAGAAGTTGAACATAGAATATGATGAACCTCAAAGTATATTCTCGGTTATACACTATATTCTGGGCGTAATTCAAGCGAAAGAATAGAATAATACTATCAACTAGTTCATAATAATTTCAAAACTCTAAGAGCAGTTGATAAATAAAATCCAGCTTCGTTCTTAAGCGTCAGCTCTTAGATTTCGTATCTGTCTCAATGCATCTCGTATACGGTTACCGTTGAGTACCTTCGGGAAAAAAATGTAGTATAGTTAGTCTCGAGACTAAATGTTCTCGAAGACGAAAACTGCTGCTAGTAGTTATCTTTTTTAGCTTATAATTGCCCTAGGCTGCAATTAAGGCCTAAGGCACATCCTAAGATAAGATATCAATCTTATTTCCATTGAAAATTGCTTTATGGGGGTCCAAAAAGGTACATGGCGTGGTATTTATTAAAGTTGATCACTCAAACCATTCAGAGAATGAAGCAGAAGAGGGCCAAAGACTACTTAAAGGCCCTATTTACGACAACTGTTGAATGACTGAATTGAATTTCATAGAAGATTCGATGTTTTGTTTCTGAGATCTTCATCGATTCAGGTCTACCACTCAACCTTGAACTTAGCAGACTCCTTCAAGTACGCATTTATATGATGCTCGGTGTACGTGGCAGAGATATCGATGGCCATAACTATCAAATTTAACAGAAAATTATGTTTACTATGCAATGAAATTACAGCGTAGTTACAGAGAAGGAAGCGCTTTTTGGAATGCTAAATAAAGCAAACAAATAATGGCGGGGTAAACGGAAAAAGGAACTTCCTAACCTAATATATTGCACTTCAGTTTATTATGAATCTATCTAATAAATACACAGATTAATATTGATTTTCATAACAAGGTGACTAGGCAAACTTAAAGTTGATTTAGTAAGGCGGGATTTAGTAGGTATAGATCAGGTTATTTAGACAACGGCATGTCTCTGTAATAGCTTAGTGGATAAAGTATTTACCCTTCGGAACGCGTTGCGGTTCAGATCCGAACCCAGGCATAGGCAGTTCGTTTCGTGCTGGGAGCCAGCCGTCTGGTGGAATATCTAAGGGTGATACCGGACGTAAAACTCAAAACGTAGAACGACCACACCTTCATTTTCCCGTGATAGCGAAGTGGATATTGTATTTGCATGCTAATGTTAGGTACAAGTTGTGGTTCGAGTTCGAACCCCGGCATAGATAGAATTCGTCGTTTCGTGATGGGAGCTAGGCGTCCCATCGGACGCTTAACAGTAAGATTTAACCTCAAATTTGAAACATAGAAAAACGATGCCTCCAGTGGCCGTTTTGCCGCAGAAATTTTGCACGAATCTTAGTAATGTCAACATTTACTTACGTTGTTTTCCCTTTTGTTTGAAGCTCATAAATTATAAATCAGTTAATCAAAGTTATGCACCTTTAAGGTATATAATTTAAGGACATTTCGTAAACCTTCAAGACATCAAGGTGGCATAAAGCGTTTAGCAAAAACAAACTACAAACCTAATTAAATTTTATATAATTATTCACTTTCGTTAGTAATAGTAAATACTTCATCCATACGATTCAACAACACAACGTTCCAATATCAGACATAGTATATAGAATCATTCAAAACACCTCACGTCATACGATTTTGTTGAGTTTATAAAACTAATTTTAGAGATTTGCCAAATGGTCTAAAAATGGTACCAGAGAACAACGGGCGGCATGATATCTATAATGATTTCCTTTACATCTAGAGTGCCCACATGTAACGTCAGACCCGTAGAAGCCTTGTTTTTTGCAGGGTCTATGGTGGAATTCCTACAGGGCACAACGAGTGATAGCATGTCTGTTCAGTCGACTTTTCCCTTCCCACTGGTACCTGAAGCAAAAAAAAACCCATAAAGTTCTGCAGATTTTTGCTCCCAATTTGTAAGATATGTCTTCAAAGATTTCGCTGATAAGAGCTCGGAAGAACGGCATAGAGGCTTGGAGAGCAGTGGCAGGTCGGTTAAAAGATGCGGGAGGCTATTCCGGGTTACTCTGTGAGCTGCAGTGCTCTTTTGAGGAAAGAGGCTCTGACGCAATTCATTTGCTCGAGGTTCTCCAGCGTAAAATCTTCCCAAATGACGCATATTCCATACGTTGCGGTCAGAGCTGCTTTGAAGTCGATTAAACTGAGTACAGTTGCGAAGGACAAGCGATGTGGTGATTTTGTTGCCCATGTAGCCAATACTGCCTTCTGGTATCTTTCGTTGACGCGCATAGTGGAAGTTCTGTCGTTCTCGGAGAAAAGGCACCCTAAGAACGGAAACTGATTCATATAGGCAAAAGGTGACTTGGCAAAGTTGAAGATAGTAACGGCCGCTGGGTTTATAGTCAATTGTAGCTCTGTGGTCGCATGAAGCCGGGTTACTGTGCATGGAACCTGTTGGATTCGTATGTCATTAAGTCGTCTACATAAAAGATGACTTCAGCTGATTTTCTCGGTTCTCTTATTTGACCAAGAAGACCCTTTAGAAAGATAAAGATTAAGGCATGGTGGTCTCTTTGAGCCACATGAGCTCTCTGTGTAAATTGCGGGAGTTAGGTCACTCCCTTGTCAGTAATTACGCTGCTTTATGTAAAATTGTAGCGAGAAAATTGCGGACATTCATAGGGACATTCGCCTCGGCCAGCACGAGCATAGCCTAGTCCCTGGGCACTGAGTCGAACGCTGCCTTAAAGTCCACGAACACCACGTACAACGGATTGCACGGCATGACCGGTGCTCTCTTGACGTCAGCCATCAAGATCCTGCGCGCCATTTCCGTGGAGTGTCCTCACAAAACCTGTAGTGCTCCGATGGGATGGCTTTTAAGTAACTGTTCACTCTCTTAGCCAGTGAGCTGGAAATCAGCCCATAACAAACGCTTTTCTTCGCTATTACCCGTCATGATGACGGCACAGTTATTGTGCATTTCCATTCAGAGGTCACTAACATGGTAGCATCTTTCCACTAGGCTGGAAATGTACCAGTTTGTAAACATTAATTTATTAGTTCTGTCTGGCAGGGTGCCGGAACAAACATTTGAGATGCCCGTGGCATATTGTATTTGGACCAGCGGTTTTCTTTTGCGTACGCTCCGGCGCTTTTGGGTTCGTTTACGTATTGTGAAGTTTTGTTAATATATGTCGTGCTGTATTGTAGATGCCCTCTTCTCTCACTACAACGCAAATTGGTACCACGTATGGTATTGTATAGTTTGACGCAACTATTTTTAAGATGTTATTAGGGAAACTCGAGATGCGCTAGCCACCCGCATATTTGACGTTTTGCATTGGGCATCAAACGGATCTCCAGCTGTTTGAAATATTATTACCTTTGTGATGCGTTTCTCGGCAAATCGTCTTAAAAATGGAACTCGAGCCTAGTGACCATCTGGGCCTTCCAGCCAAGGCTGAAACTATTGTTGAACTACGGCTTATGCTAAAGAAGGAATAAAAGGCTCTTTCGACATTTCTTACGTCAGGTCCATGGAAAACCTTGTGGGGGCGTTCCAGGAGTTTGCTTACATCTAGGCGTGGCAATAAACTACTTGACTACGAGGCTAGTAGTCAGCCAAAACACATTAACCCTGAGTAACTTTAGTGTTAACAGAAAGAGTAGTAGACGGCCGTTATCTCTAACAGGAAAAAAACTAAGCACACAGGCCAAAAAGGCTCTATTATCTACATTATCTTTTCAGCGTATGTGTTTAATTTTAATGCTGTGGTTGCCACAACTATTGCACGAAACTTATTCTGGCCCAGACTAATTAACGTACAATTTACGCTCGTATAGCTTTTCCGGATCTCCTCAGCCGTTCTACTTGTACAACTATTGAGTCACGAAAATAGATTGTTTAATCAATTTCGCAGCTCCTAAACCTGATTGCCGTTAATCACGGCCATTTCGTTAGAGAACCATTTACGTAGAGATCGATTAAAAAATTACGTAAAGACACAGACATAGTGTAATTACTTTTTTTGACAACTGTAACTATTTTCTAGGATGTGTGAGCCTCGGCCGTGGAACGGAAGCTCGAGGAAATTAATATACAGGAAATACAATTGGAGAAACTCTAGCACTGCTATACCCTACACATTTCCCTGTGTACAGCTCACAAAAACCATTTAAAGTAAATTAAGATTTTAGCATCGATCTTGGCGGAACTTGAGTAGTTTCAGAAGCCATCCATCCCATCATTTCACAGATAGAGAAAGGACATTAAACATAGCTGTCGTCATTCTACAAATAAAGGCCATTTTTGTCTGAATTCCATAGCAATATATATTGACTTGGAAGTGCCCGAAACGATTGACACACGCACGATGGTCGACTGAGTTGTGTTACATAAATATCACTACTAAGAACATATTAAAATGCTATATGTGTATTACATATGGCAGGGTACGGCATTTTATTTAATTTGCCCTAAGAAGCAGGCAAAAAGTCAACGTTATATTTTGGCTTAAAAAAGCGGTACATCCGCTTTGTGGAGTACCTTGGTGAACGTAACATTGTTCTCTATGATTTTTATCTACTGCCACTTTCTTGACGAGTATGAGATGCTTTAAATTATGTTGCACCAGTTTCCGTGTTCTTTACAAATAAAGGTTAGTCCAAAAAATTTTGTCAGATTGATTTTGATTGAATTGAGCCAAACTTTGTTAATAAATAAAGAGCTCTAGGCCATAAAATCCACCACCATGAGTCCATAATCGCCACTTGAAAACATCTAGAGCTAAAGAATTATTGAAATAAACACGTTCTATTTACTCATTTTAAACGTCAGGAGAAAATTAAATTCAAGTTCTTTCGTGTACTCGAAAAGTTGAACCACAGCGCTCGGTTATAGTATCGTCCTAGACCAAGGAACGCTCCTGTGATGAGGCACCAGGATCAGTCCATCTGGATAATGCCGCTCGGTATACGCTCAACTTCTTTTCCAATGCTTCAACGTAAATTCGTGTGAGAATTAGCTTGCTGTAGGTCTTTACAAGTGTTCATATCGGTCACGCCCGTTCGTCTTTTACTTCTTTTTTTTTTTTTTTTTTTATATTAGCAGGTGTGTGGCATCACCAGACAAAACCCCAAAAAAGTCTACAGAGATTTGTAAACCAGTATGGCCGAGGCAGGTCTTAGTCGTCACC